AGTTCACTGAGCCCTGAGCGTAGAAGCCCATCTGCAAGAGGCTTCTCTCTCCCTCTCCCCCATTTTGCTTTCAGTAATACATGTATTTGCTATCACGAAAGGGACTGGGGAAGCAGGCTATGTCACACCTGTGCCTCTGCCCCTTATCAGTAGGGACCTCTTTTCACACATAATTAGGAGATAAAACCTTCCCCTATCACCACTTCTGAGAGGCAAAGGGATGTTTTCAATCCTGCTCAGCACCAGGCAAGCCAGTGTCACTGACAGATGACTCGTAATTGAAAGTTCGCCCTTCTCTCAGTTTTAGGATCTCAGCTAATTACAGCGACACTCAACTGAGAATTCTCCTTCCTGGCGCTGTCAGAAGAGCTCGGATCTGCAGAGAAGGGTCTGACCTTCTGCATATCCTGAACCTGACCGTTCTGCAGCCTTTCACAAGAACTTGCTGAGCATCACAAGCTATTAGATGCTCCCATCTTAGAAACACTGGTTGCAGGGGAAGTGAAAATTGTTTCCCCTCCACTGCTGAATACAGTGCACATGGAATTCTATCGTGTAACTTTCCAAGCTGAACTTTTGCTGGGCTTGAAGACCAGACTGGCTGAATTTAGTATAAACCAGAGCAGATTTTATCCTGTAAGAGTAAGAGCTTTGCTCTCAGGACTCACCTCCAGTACATGAGGGTTTGTCTGATCCCCCATCTGCAGAACTTTTTCAATGTAGTCGGTCAGAAGCATTTCAGCATTCTCTCCAGCCATGGCCAAGAATCCCAAAGTAATTTCAATGACAGACAGAGCATCACAGACGTCACTGTAGGACTGTAGTTCCCCACTGATCATGTTCATCATGGAACTGGGCAGAGCACTCTGAAAACCACAAAGTCAGAGCAGTTGGCAGTATTAGTTAAGAGCCATTCTGTATTGCTGCTCAAGTTGCTAAAGTCACAGAAGACAGCAGAGCTTCAGATTTAGGAAAATTAAAATGCTTAATTATATATGCCTTCCCTTTGTAAATCCTGACTGACAAAAGAAGGCCAGTTTGTACACATACAAGGCACAGTGAGGGGTCAGTGGACGAGCCTTCAGATAAAGGAGGCAACAGAAGACAAAGCCAACACTTCTTGGAATGCCAGGGATCACGTGCTTGCCTTGTTTTCTCCAGTGCAGAGACCCACCTGATCCAGCTTATTCCTGACGTCATTAAACAGTTGTTCATAATTCCGATCATGCCTGTACACGAGCGTGGGTATTCCCTGTCAGGAGAGAAACCCACGGTCGTAACGCTTTGGCGACATCACCTGCCCTGCTGCAGCGCATGCCTGGCTCCAGCGAACGCTGCAGGGCTCCAGCGGCAGCCGAGGAGGTGTCTGCAGGCCCAGAGCCAGCTGCCTGGCCTACCGTTAGGGTGATGAGTGGTTTCCCCTGCAGGAACTTGCTGATGACTTGCTGCTGGATCCTCTTCAGATCAAAGTCCTCCAGTGTCTCCCCTCCCTTCTCCATGCTGTACTGGCAGTTGGACAAGATCAGAGGAATGAGGTCTCTCTCGAGCTCATAGCTGATCAAGTGCAGGTCAGCCACTTCCGATGGACTCACCAGGTACCTGCAGGAGAGAAAACCGTCTCCTTTTAAGAGCGAGAAGCCTTTATGAAACAGGGAAAGCTGATTGTGTGGTAGTGGGTAGTACAACAGAGCCCAAAGAGATGCTCAGCTGAACAGCAATGTACCTCTCGTCTTCCTCCTTGATGTGTTTGTTCACCGAGTGGATGAAGTCGTTGTGCAGACTAATGAGGTAGCTGGCTAAGGCTGTGGAGCAGAGGCCCAGCCCCTGTCGACGTGGCAGAAGGACCTCAAGCTGGCTGTCCAAGGTCAAGTCAGCATCACAGTACTCTTTAGGAAGCTTGATTTCCCCTGAAATAAAAGGCAGAGGAGACTGCTTCAAGTGGCCCTGAGCCAGCCCACAACGAGCCAGCCTCTCCTGAGCAGACCCAGGAGAAAGCACAGAACCTGAAAAAAGCAGCACTCTGCATCAGGTGTAAGCACTAAATGGAGCAAGTGCGGGTGAGAATACTACAAGAGGGAAACAAATCCCTCCACCTGCATATAGATCTTCTTCAACCTTTAATTGCCAAGGTTAGTTGTAAGGATATGTCTCAGCATCAGCAATGGGAGGAACCTGAACTGTCCAGGAGCGGTAGAAGAGGAGCATTGTCTGACAGCTGGCAAGCTCAGTTAGTGCTGGGGAAGAAAGGCACTCACCACTGGTGTCCAGTGAGCTTCTCAGCTTGTTCCAGACAGAGAGAAACACATTCACTCTCCTCTCTAAGAGGTCCCTCATCCCATCTGAGGAATAACAGAAAGACAAATCCTTGGAACGCCTTTTACTGGCAACACCGTGAAACTCCATAACAGAATTGTGACAGCACGCCACTGAAGGGTAGGCAACTGCTCGGACAGATCAAGAGAGACTAAACAGGCATTAAGCAGTTTTCTAATGGTATCAAACTAAGTCATTTGCTCCCCTTGTTTATATTCCGTTATTGTCTGCTCTTGGCCTGGGTTGCAAGGCTGGATGGATCTTTGGTTTGATTCTGCATGACCTTTAAGTACTTTTCTGTAAGTAGTTAAAAATGTAAGTAAATGTACTTATATATAATTGTAGGACTTGCCGCAAAATGTCTGTATGCTGCTCATGAATGGAAGGGAAGACATCTATTCCATCTTTTAGACACAGCTTAAAAAAATCAACGTACCCACTGCTGCATTCAGGAATTCAAATTGCCTGTCTCTGAGCAGAGCCCCCCCTCGCCTTGTGAACAGTCTTCTTGTGCCTAATTCACTTTAAAGTCACCTGATGGCTTTTCCAAGCATAACTCTGGGTTTAAGGTCTCTGATTCATTTGGGTGGGAGTTAAAAGGAAAACATGAGGGCTTAGGATGGAAAGCTCAAGAGAGGTTTTCACCTTCATTTTCAACTGGACTACCCAGTGCTTTTTGTTTCACTAATTACAGTTTTGGCAGAGTCTTCTCACCTGGGAGGGGTTCGTCGAGGAAATCTTTAATTGAGCAGCACTTGACATCAGCAGTGTTCTGAAATCTCCTCACCAAATCTCTCTGCAGAGCCAGGATCTCTGGTAAGAATTTAAGCAACCTCAGTTCTGTTTCCTGGAAGAAGAAAGGGGACCTGTGAGTAAGATTGTTCTTGGAAAAAAACAGTTTTGAATACTTTTATTGATTACTTTTTAAATGTTTAAAAGAAAAATATTTTACACTGGCAGTTCTGAAGATAATTGAGAGTTACGGGGATGAAGACACTGCATAATCCAACAGTGGTTTAGTCCTGGACAGTTGTCTCATGGTGACCCTGCCTGAGCAGGGGCTTGGACCAGAGGTCCCTTCCAACCTCAACCAGCCCATGGTTCTGCGAGCTCATCCCAGTGTCACACCCACCTTCTGCAGGAACTTCCAAAGGAGAGGGACAGCGTCCTTGGCATTCTTCTGCTGGACCACATGGCCCAGGTTCTCCACCGAGATCCTCTTCCGGCAGCTCCACATCTTGGAATGATGTATGTGGCTGTCCCTTGGCAGCTGGGACAGGAAAGTGGCTGGGTCACCATAGACTATTTTCACTATTGGATTGGAAGAAATTCTGTCATCCTCTTGTATTTGTCTGTTTAACTTCAGAAGTTTTTTATCCAAATCCTGCATTAAAAAACACAAAAACAAAACCAAACACAACAAAACAACATTCCAGGATTGGCAGTTTCCTGCCATTTTGAACCCAATAGCTCGATGACCAATTGACACAGAAATGCCAAAGCAGAAGACGAACTCATAGGGAAGGCAGGTAAAACACCAACTGCAAGACAGCAGCTTATGCCACAAAGTTATTCTTTGTTCTCCAGCTCATCCTGCTCAGGTCTCCCATTCTTGAGATGATGTATGGAGGGGGAGGGAGGCAGACAGGATGCATTTGGGACAACCATAGGCTCACTTGGACAAGTACTTTCAACTGAGCTAAGACACTTCTGCTTTCCCAGCTATATAGAATCATTGTAGCACAACTCTAGTCTTAGATACTCGTTTCCACGGGTAGAATAACGTTGGCTGACCCTTACAAATTAAAGCTAACCTGCAGTTGTGCCACAGATGGTTTTGTTTTAGGGACAGTGGGGTGAGAAGTGGAACACAGATAGTACAGCAGGTCAGATTTCCCAACAAGCAGGTCTTGAACTGCTCAGCTACTGACATTTTATACAGCAAATTACTCACCTCTAGCAGAGGAGCAATAATTGTGTTTGCAACAATTTCTTCCCATTTGTTTCTCTTCTCCTTCGTGGAAAGCTCATAATCAAATTGAACTGGCCCTGCAACAGGAATATTTAGTCTCTTACATCTGCAATATTCAGTCAGAATAAAGCACAGATTCTCTAAGCTTCCAGATGTGACATCCTTGCAAATTAGTGCAGTGGGCTGAGATCAATTACAGAGGCCCTAGGAGCCAACTCAGTGCCCTGGTCTAGCTGGAGAGCGTCATCCAAAAGAGCACACAGCGACAGCAGGTTCTCAGAAGGGTCAGTCCAGTCTTTCATTTGACAGGTATACAAGCCACTCATAATCTCAGAAAGGTTAAACAAGTTGTCTAAGGTCAGACCATGATCAATGATAGACCAAAACACAGACCTTGGAATACTGATCTGAGCTGTCCCACTCTAAAAATATGGCTGTTACACACCATTCCCTCTATGTCACTGTGACTCCTGTCAGCTGGAGCTCCACAGTCTGCCATGAACCACACTCTGCCGTCCCTCTTCTACCAAACAGCATCTTGGTAGTCATTCAGAGGGCAGTGCAGTACATAGATTATAGACAGCATGAGCTACTGTGCTTTGAGTAGTACCTCTGCTTGGAAGCTGAAAGCTCTGTCAACATCTGATGTTCAAGAATTATTCAACCATTCCTTTTCAGAACTATGCACCAAACATGGCGCACCCCACGTACTTGACCGAAAGATAAGAATGACCCAGATTTTTTCCTTCCTACAGTAAGAAACAAGCCTCAAATTTCTGGATGTTCTTCATCAGCTCAGCTACTGCCTGTTGGAAATAGTCTGTTAGCAAAGAAGCTACGTAACTACTGCCTTTAAAATGCTGATATGGCTCGCTGATGTGACAAAGTGGGTAGTTTTCCTTACACTGGCCTGGATGCTGCTGGGGGTCCTTGAGGAGGCTGCTGAGGAAAAGATGAAGGACGTTGATAGTGTCATCCACACTCTTCCCCAAAATTTTTGTCAGCTGTGCCAAGTCCTCCTGAATATGCTGCTGCAGGAACGTCACTGGGTCATGCACCAGTGGCTTGATAATCCTTTGCAATGCCTGAAGAGCAACAAAAGGCAAGAATGGGCATAGCCAGTAACAGCCAGTTCAAGCACAAGGCAGGCAGCACTGCTGCCCTAACACCCAGTCAGCTTCCCTTAGGATTCCTACCACTGGAGCAAACAGAAGTGGGTGTGTGCGTATTCACATGCAACTGCATGGAGGAATCAGAATCACTCCTGGGCAAGGAGGGAAGCAAATTTGGATCTTACATCTTGAACGAGTGCCCTAATTACTTGGCGATGTGGTGAAAAGGACAAGCCTCAATACAGAGGTTTCACTCCATTTTACACGGCCACTTGGAACTATTAGTAGAAGATACCTGAGGATCTTGCATGGCTCCCAGCAGCATTGTCAAATGTGTGAGCAAGCGTAACAGAATGAAGACAACAGGGGACATGCCCCGATCAGACACTCCTTTTGTTTTTCTGTGTTGTGCATCTCCAAGTATGTGGCCAGTTTGAGTTCTGTCTTCACTACTCCTGTTGGGAAATGGATATGTTGTATTTTTTGCCTCAACAAAAAACACACAAGAGATATATTTGATATTCAGCAATGTCTTTTTGACCCTTAAGTTCAATGAATGCATTAAAGCTGCCAAGCTTTTATGCTTGGCACAAGTCATAGGTACTGGAGCTCTGGCAGAAGTTCTTCAGCTGTGCTGATCCATTTAAGAAAATTTTGCCTACTACTGTATGTTGGTGGAGAACCACATAACCTGTATCAGCCTGAACAAGCAGGGAAATGAAAACCCCTAAAGCAGCAGCCTGACAAGCTCTTACATTAAGGCAGTTTCTGCCAAGTCAGTTATAGCAGCACTCCCTACAGCTCAGCCTCTTCCCCACAGAGGCCAACGTCCAAGCCAACAGGGAATCCCATGCACCCCCTTGCAGGCAGCAGCAAGAAGGTTGGTACGTTTTGCTTTTTGAAAGCATGACAGGCAAGTACTACATCGTTTAGCACTGGAAAGGTTAACGAATGAAAGCATACCGGAATTCCTGAAAGCCAGACACTGGTTTGTGCTGTACCCCTCCAACCTGGGCACCACAGTCAAGACAGTAGCTGGTTTCCATGGGGAGGCCACACTAGCAAAAAGCAAAATTAAGAACTGAATTGTGAAGTAAGAGTCTCTCTCTCCAGCAGAGAAGGAGAATGAAACAGAAGTCCAGGCTCTACTGGTTAATTTAAGAACTGCTATATACCAGGCAAAGGACCTCTGCCTCTCATTTCCTAGGTTTGTGGCATAAGGTACTCTAATCTTACATTACAATAGCAAAATGATTAATATCATGATTTTAGAAAATGAACCACTGTGCAACAGAACATTAAAACCAGTCAACAGAGCAAAAGTTCATTGTCAAAAACACCAGCTGCTTAAAAACCCACCAGTCTCAAATTCTTACCTCTCCTACAGTGCAGGGGTGGCCGTTCGGACATGCTATCAAGAAAAGACACAAACAGGACAGCTTTATAAGACAGACATTTATAAAGTCCCTGTTATCCCCTTTCACAGGGACCGTCACCTTCGAGCAAGAAACATGCTGCAAGATCTAATCCAAAGCCCTGACTGTCCCAAAGCTCTAAGGGGGGATACAGGAACCCAAGGGATTTTTCAACACTTCTCTTCATGAGAAACAATAAATGGAAGCCTGAAAGATTGTGGTGCTGAGTACCCAATGGGCTGGGAAGCATGAGTGCTCCCACCTCCGGATTCCTAGTCTGCAGGAAGATCCCACCGCAGAAAGCAGAGACCAGGATGGTGCCAAAGTGCTCCTCTTCCACTCACACCACTTTGCCAGGGCCAGGAGTAACAGGACAGGTCTCCCGCACTCTCAAACTTTGCCCACAGCTATAAGCTTGAAACTAAACAAAAGCTCGCTGCACTTTAGTGCTTTACCCACATGAACTGCAGCTACAAAGCTTAATGTACAAAGGATAACTCATGCTGACAAGAGAAACTTGTCTCTCCTCACATTTGGAACAGTTTTATTCAAAACCCAAGGATTATCCTTCACTTTCTTTCACAGCCAGTCAAGAACACTTACTGTACCAACGCAGAGCAGCCACTCCTTGCCAGGCCCTCGCCTGAGCCATTATATCTTCTGGCATCGTAGGCAGAAAAGAGTTCTAAGGAGGAAAAAGGAGAAAAAAAAAAAGATGACAAATGAATATATAAATCAGTTCATTGCTGTAGCAGTCGCCCAGTGTTCTTGATTCATCATGGAGAACAAGAGACATCTGAAAGCAAAGGTCATGCAGATGATGTACACACACATTTTCAAATTCTACCTTTGAAAAATCCACTCTTGAGCGGTCAGTGCTGTTAAAACTTGCACGTGTGCTCTCTAGACATCCTGAACCGGATTCCTGCCAGGGTGGCCTGACGTACCCTGGGGTGTGGCAGCATGTGTGCTTAAACCTTGGGGAGCCAGAAGCAGCTGATCCCTCCACCCCAACTCAGCCTAGAGCTCCATGACCTGTTATCCAGAGTGTGCAGGTCTCTCCAGCACAACGTCTCAACTGCTTTCAGACTTGCTCACTCAAGTATCAGCACAAATATTTGCCTGGTGCTGCTTGGGGTGCAGAGGTACCTTGAAAAGGTACCAGTCTGGAGCTGGTGTTGCACTAAGTAATCCCAACAACTCTGAAGAAGTCATACATAGGTAATTCACAGCCAAAACAGTAAGTTGATGGCTTTGATGGTTATTCCAGCAGGATGGTTATTCAGCAGGTACAGGGAGGAACTAGCAATACGTTGAATTGCCATCTGAGTTGAAGTTCTTTACCTCCATGATGTATGGATGGAATGCCAGATTCCTCAGGGGCAGCAGGACAGGGTTCTGCCCACACAACAGCACGGCTGCGGTGTGAATGGCCATTTCGATCACGGCTCCGTTGTGGCTGAAGCTTTGAGGATGCACCATCAGGGACTGCAGAGCATTTTTCACAAGAGAAGTTGCAAAGTTCTGCAGATACGGAGAATTCAGGACTTGGGACTTCTGGATGAACTCAGTCATAGCATCTGTTTGCTGAAAGCACATATTTAAAAGAAATAAAACCAGTATGATATTGCCCACCAAAGTGAGGACTATCAGCTGCTTCCCATGCCGTGTTGCCCCTGCTTTGAAAACACTTCCAGTCTGCTCAGATCAGGACACAATTTTATTCAGGGCAGAAGAACAAAAGGTTCTTCCACCAGCAACTCAAATCTCATTCATGCTTGTCAACAAAGCACGTTTGTGACTTCACTTCCCAAGTGAAGTATCTTACCTGCGGCTTGGGATGAAGGTTCGAGTCATTAACTCCATACAGGGCAGTGACCTCTCTGAAAATAGCAAGGAGCAGATGGACAGATTGTACGGCTGGGGAGCTGCCGGGTGCCTGGAAAAGAAAAACTGAAGCTATGGCAGGGAACAGGCTGCAGCGGTCACAGCCAGGGTTGGCGGATGTGCAGGCTGCAGCAGCTCTGTGGGAAAAAGCTCTCCCCACAAACAAAGGGCGATAGTGCAGAAACGGCTGCTCCACCCACAAACCAGAGAACGGGCTACAAAAGCCACAAACGAGTAATGTGACAGCACTCAAGCTGATGGAGGGTTTTACATCAGAAATCTCTCAAGTATTTTATTCTTGTAACATCCAGCTGGAATTACAGTGTCACCCAGCAGCAACCTGTACGTGTCCGCCTTCAAATCAAATCAACACGCAAGTTGGAATAAAAAAATAAAATCACAACCAACACGTAATAGATGATACAGAGACATTCAAAGGCACATTGTTTGCAAACTTCTTCCTGAAGTTTTTCATACACAAAAGACATATTGAAAAAAAGTTACAATTAAGCAGAGAGCACCTGTTTGACTTTTGTGTGACAAGACACAATCTACAAGGTGCCTGCATTGCTTACTGTGACACAGGCTGCTGTGATAGATGGCAAGAGGAGAAAAGAGATATGAGGCAACCAACAGAAGTAGCCTCAGAGTTACGTATGCTAGAGCACAGGTAGAGCAAACACACACGTGTCTGCCAGCACAAGCCACAGGAACTTTCAAGCCCAGGCAACGCAAGCATCTCGACTGGAAGAGACATTACCAACAGGACACATAAAGCTTAAACCTTGGTCACCCAGAACCCCCAGGAGGGTTATGGTCAGGAGAGCATGCGCTACCTTCTCTGCCTTTAGAAGACCCTCAGTGTTACACTCAATCATGGCTTTCCCCACAGCGTCACGCAGGGCTCGGTAATTCTCACCACATGCCAGGTAACGATCGATGCAATTAGCCTGGCTGATCTGTACCTGCAAAGGGAAAAGCCCATGGTTAGCACAGTGGACATGAACCAGCCGTTGGACAGGGCACAACCTCCTCTTGCTCTCCAGAATCACGGCATTTCAGCCTTCACAGAGAGACAGTGGGCCAAGTCTTCCCTTCCCTAGAGGCTCCATTTGATGGAGAGTGGGGACAAGTCACCTTCACAACCCCTCCTTGTTGTGGTGAGTCCCCTAGAGCCACGTGACAGTAGAAACACCTCAAAGCAACAGACTGAAGATTAAGAGGGGACCAGAGCCATCTCCAAGGAGACACTCTACCTGTCGCAGAGTCTCCACTGGGAACACCCAGTTAAACTCTGCCTCCGTGACAAGCTTCTGAGCAAATTCCATCCCGTACTGACTAGCGATTTTCCGGACCAGGTAAACACGATGCCACTCGTTCTTGGTGAGGCTACAGAACATCTTCACGTTTGCCAAGTAACGCCACTTCTCCTCTATCTGGTCTTGCTCTGGAGGAAGAACAAACAAACAAAAAAAATAAAAGCAAAATCCAAAACCAAAAAAGAGGCAAAACCACATCCTGTCTTGTAAAATTCTTCTGTGGGCACTAGCTGCAGCACCAAAGCCCTTTTACTAGTAGTGACTAATTACACAGGAGACCTTGAGAGCCCCCTTGCCCTCAGACACTTATTTAGAGCGTTCTCTTGGCCAGATTTTAGCCAATGATTCACATCTCTGACAGGGGATGACATACTCTACTCCCCCTTCCTTCTCTCAAGGACAGATTTCTGTACAGCAGGCACATATCTGAAGCATCATTTCTGCTCTACTCTTTTCTTCATTAAAGCTCAATTTAGTTGGCTCTAAATAAAATTTCACTGTCAGCGTCTGAAGGATAAAATAAAACTCCTTCCAAAAGCACAACTCCTATGAAACTACACCCCAGGGGTCATTGGCACAGCCTCGCTACTACTTACGGAGCACTACTAATACATGGTGAAGAGGACAAATAACAAGTGACGCTCCTAGAGAAGGAACAGAGCAGAAAGCTGGTGCACTTGATCTTGCCCAGGCATCCCAACACGTTCCAGCACAGCACGGGCACCCTGACTGCGTCCAGCCCACAGCGACTTCGCTCTGCGTGCAGCAGTCCCGTTCGACAGTAGAACAGACTCACCTCTAGGCTCGTGCAAATCAAAGAGCAGCTCTGCAGCCTTACTCAGGTACAAGCGAACCTTGGCTACTGCCTGCAGGTATTCAACAGATGATTCCTGAGGAGTTGCCTGATTGCCCTTTGGGAGGTAGTTGTCTGGAAAGCCTCTGTCTCCAGGCACATAGTTTATATGCTCGTACCCAAGGCTGTCCTCAGACTTTTCACACATGGAATCCTAAAGGTGGGCCAGAATAAAGCATGAGTGATGGAACCACTTCAACCCAACGTCTCGTGCGTTGGTAGTTTATATCTCAATGCACTCACACTGCACATTAAACTTAGGTCTCTCACAGCACCCTCTACCCCAATGCCATCAGCTCCTCCCCATGATCTCTCCAGTGCTTATCCTAAACTTCTGCCACATCACCAAACACCATTTTCAGCAATGGCCCAAGCTCTCTCCCATGTTTCCCAAGCGTGCAGCTGAGCGAGAGTTATGAGCATGCTGGCTGGCCCCACACATGCTGACACACATCACGTGTTCCACAGTGCCAAGCTCTACCTGCCTTTCCCTTTTTGATCTTACCTACAAAGTCATCATTTTAATGAAAACTAAGAAATGAAACCTCTACCGTGCTGTCACGTTTGTCTAAAGCTGTCCAAAGCAGTTTCGCAGGAGCAGGAAAGGGAAGAACCCAAACAGTGCAATAATCTAAAGCACTGCAAACAAAAAGGAGTCTGAAAGCAAGAAAGCAGGCCAAACCCCACTCCTGTGCCGGAGTTCAAGTCTTACGGGGCCTCACTGAACAGTTTGACACCTGTCCGCAGAGTCCAGGAGAAAGGAGAACTCACGTAATGCTGTGAGCATGCACAGGCCTTGCCTTGAAAAGCCAGGCTAGTTCCTGGAGAGCAGTTCTGACCAAGTGATTCCATAAACTTCCTATAGAGCTTTCTAGTCAGGCAGCAAGAAACTTGCCTAAAATTGTGCAAAGTTTTATTCGCCCAGCTCTTACCTACCCAGCACTCTTACCTCTAAGCAGTTGACAAAAAGCAAGTAGAGTTCTTTTTTATCCTTTTTATCTAGGATCTTGCTGTGCTCTACCTGGGACAGGTAGTGTTGCACATCATTTTTCACTTCATTGAAGCTACAGGAGAGAGAAATACTCACTTATCACAACTGTGACACTGATGGCTACTACTTATGTTCTAAATCACAACTGAGCTACTAGTTTTGTCCACGGTGAGAGCAGTTGGGATCCGTCTGGAAGACGGAAAAACAGTTGTACCATGTTTTGCCAGATATCGTCTAGCTTCACAGTCTGAAACGGACTTCTTTTTCCATCTGCTAAATTAACATTTCTAGGGCACAAGTCATCTGACGTATTTTAAGCATCTGATTTAGGAGATGCTAGCACTCGAGAAATGTCTCTCTGTGCGCTGACTGCAAAGGGAGGCTGGTAGAGGTGCTGTGAATGGAGAGGTCTGTGTGAGCACACGGAAGATCATTCCTGATTCAATGTCTGTGGATGAGGAGTATTGCTCTGCCCACGCAGAGCCCACCGATTAGTCGTCTGGCTTTAGGTTACCCGAGCCATCCCCATTCAGCACAGGTTTCGGTTAAGAATAGCTGGTAAACCTTGGCACAGACTGGTCAGATACTTGCACACAAGCTACATGCAAGCCAGCCAAGTTGCATAACTAGTACAAAGGCACAGGATGAATTTCAGCTGTACTGATTCAAATTCAGTGGCCAGCACGGAAGTGAGGAGAACAATCAAACTGGTTTGATGAGGCCATGAAAAACAAAGGTGCCCCACCCCCTGGTGTCACATCCACCTGTTGTTTGACTGTGCTCACCTATACTTCAGGAGGAGCTTCAGCATTACTGAGCGGATGATGGGAGTTTCGTCCACTTCATCATTAAACGGGGACAGAAATTTTGTGTAGACAGCAGGGTGATCTGTGAAGGTCAGAAAAGACAAGCTTGGCAGGTGAGAGAAAGTGGCAAGAGAATCGGCTCCCTAAGGCAGAGCGTCAGGATGAAGGGAGCTCACCTGAATCTTGCAGGAGGCTTCTGTGAACAAACAGCAGATTAAGGAGTTCTTGGATCACTTCTGCCTCAGGGGGCTCATTGTCCTTGAAGCACATGGTAGTGACCACATCTATGAAGAAATTATTGCATCTCTGCCGGAACAGGGCGTTTTTTGCTATCGCATCTCTAGGGAAAGGGTAAAAAAACCAAAACATCAGGACAGCGTTCAAACACAGATCCACTTAAATAAGGGATGAAGCAAAGCAGACACAGGCAGAAGAGACCACGGTGAAGTACTTTTCCAGCTTTCCCAAAGGCTGGGTTTGTGCAACACTTGAGCAGTATTGTCCGCAGAGACTGTATCACATTGACAACTCAGAACACAAATGGCAACATGATGCCAAATACATTTACTGGGGGTCTTTTTGCCAAACTATTACAAAGCAATCCAAGGTGACAAGGCATTTTCCTTGTCCAGTTCAGCCACTGACAGTGCTTTAGCTTTGTGGGGTTTTGTAACTACAGTTTTCTTACTGGTAATTTCCTCCCTTCATTTGAAATGATAAACAGAAAATGCACAGGACCTGTTCTGTTTCTAGAAAGAGCAGAGCACAGTTCCCTCCACCCATTCTGCTCGTGTTGACCCCTTCAGAACTGCAAATCAGAACTTCCTCACACAAAAGGGCCCACTGCAACACATCCACTTGGGAGGGTGGAGTACCTGAGCTCCTCAGAGACATCTAAATCAACATCCTCCACGGCGACTTTGCAGTACGGGCAGTGCATCTGTGCTGGCACGAGCCACATTCTGATGCACTTCTGACAGAACACGTGGCAGCAAGGCAGGCAGATTGGATCCTTTGGCTCTCCCAGGCAGATGGAACACGGCTGTAACTTGTATCTGTAATTCAGAAGCAGCAATGACCACGTTTCCTTCAACATTGTCTTACCAAAAGCCTTTAACAAGAAGTTCATCTGCAACTAGACCAAGAGGAGGTAACATAAGACCTGCTGGCTACCTGCTTAGCTTCATAGAGCAGAATAAAATGGAAGTAATTGTTCATTTAGCTCTCATTATGTCGCATGCAGCCCTGCCTTATGCCCAGAAATACGCTGGCAACACAGCTAACATCCCTACTGGACCCTGCGACTTGTCTCAATGTCCCTACCTGTGGAGCCTGCTGCTCACTTCCTCCTTGCATTGGCACAGTATTTTCATCACCGCAACAAAAGTTGGATGAGTCTTCATGTCTAAATCGTGCTCAAAACACTGCAGAGGAAAAGGACAAAGCCAAATGACTCAGCTCTAATACCCGAGACAAAAAATTCACATGATCAGCAGAAGCAAACAGGGAAGAGGTGAAATCTCATCTTTGCTTACCTCGGCAAGAAGCAAAGTATATTTTTTCACTAAATTCTCAAATTCTGGCATCACAGTGTTGATGCCAAGCAACACATGTTCTACAAACAGAGACATGGAGAGAACCCGGTTCCAGCAGACTTGATTTCAAAAAGTACAATTACGAGCTGAGAGCATGAATGGAAGTGCAGAATGAGGTCAGTCTAATGATCTCACTGCTTTTCAAGCTCACTGCTACAGCATCTGTTCACTTCTCATGCAACTTCCAGCTTTGCTCTTCGGTCATCGACCCCGGCATTTTGTCAAGGACAAAACAAGCAACAGCGCAGTGAGCTCATGGCACAGGAGCTTGTCCTGCAGACAGAGCTGCAGCAGAGCTAGGACCACTCCAAAGACTTTCTTACATCTCTGACTTCTATAACAGGAAAATAATTAACAAAGCGATAATCACCATTAACTACACTTTCTTCAGTTAAAATAAACAAGCTGTGTGAGAAACCAGGGGAGCTCTCTGGGCTTGTCTTCTAAGAGACAAGACCCCGTCCTAAGATGCAGCAAAGCTGCCCATCTCTCACAGTCTCTCTGCACAGGAGGTGAAGTGGGGAGACACTGCTGGTTAACAGGAGCCTAAGGAGAGTTTTAAGTAACCCCCAACTCCAGCTGGAATGCACTGGATGATACTGACAGATTGAAGGGGAGAATCTGCACGAGAAAAAAAATTAAATAGATAAATCTGGTTCTTGATGCTTGAGCCTGGCAGGAATCTGGAAAGATTTGCAAAGTCTTTGTCAGAGAAAAGCAACCCCGGAGCAGCGTTCAGCCTGTACTAATATTAACAGCAAAGCAAAAGATCAAGGTTGTGGATAGATCTGTGGTACATACTCGAGTACTTTTAGCAGCTGATGGCACCGACTCCCATTGCTCTGCAAATCCCTCACTTGACAAAGAAATTCAATGGGCATACGAAGATTCTTCACCTTCTGCAACCAGATCTCTGGATGGGCTGTCTGCACTTGACCCTTCAGCTCTTCAGCACATACAATTGCAGCTAACACATCTAAAACCTGAACACACACACAGGGGTCTGAGTAGAACACAACAGCTTAATTTCAGAATAATTTCTGAACCTTGGGCTCTCAATCTGGTTTGCTATAGCATGTGTTCCACTGAACAATGTTCTATTTGATTGTCTTAAGCTCTGGAATTCTCATGCTCACAGCTCAGATCATTAACACAACCTATTAACTGATGTGAAAGCAGGGCAAACTATTTTAAAACCTGCTAGTACCAACAACAACATAGCAGATTACTCCTAATACCGAGGATCCTGAGTGAACTTGTGCTTTACTGTTGCTGAAGTTGAAAGGAGCCTGAGGACTAACTAAATCAGAGTGCTCTCTGCTAGTGTTGAGGATTGCAAAATACCAGGTAGGGACTCTACCATCTCTGAATGTCCTTCCTCCTTAGCAAGGTAGTCAACCACACGCGGCTGTATGGCCAGGATCCTAGAGAAGTTCTGCAGGCGGCTCTTGAACTGGTTGTATCCAAGGTGGACCCAAGGCAAGGATGGCACCATATCCTCTCTTCTAGGAGATGCTGCCTTCCACTCCTCCATGCAGGATAGGAATGCAATTCGCAGACACTGAAAGTTTAAAAAAAAAAAAAGGTTATAATAAAAATTTAAAAACAACTTTTGTAATTCATTTTGCACTGGAAATCCTGGCACAATTCTCTGAAAGAAGAGAATCCGTACTTTATAAAGATAGCTTGAAATGGTGCTTCTATGGAAATGCTTTTTGGGGTGAGGTCTCAGCAATTTCAGCAGCCAGTGTCAAACACACCTGCTCTGTGGCTACCTTGCTGTTAGGTCTGTCTCTGAGAAGGATTTTGTCTGAGAGGACAAGATTGATCCAGAAGGGCCCATTCACAGGCATCCTGCTCTTCTCTCCACCCAAAGGCTTCCCAGCTCTTGGTCCAAACACTGACCTGCAGCTCCTCTCGGGAGGACGCACCGATGGTCAGGACAATGAAATCTGTGATGTAGCACTGGCAGAGCATCTGCCTTTCTTCCTCAGTCAGAGCAGAGATAAATTTTCCCAGTGCAGTTTCCTGGAAGATGTTCACAAACTTCTCAGCTTGGTCTGGCAAGTAAGAATGCAGAGAAAAAGTGAGTATTAGGAGGAGGCTGGGTTTGACACAGCTCCTGTCCCAAAGCGCCTGACGTCCAGTTAATCACGCCTGCATCCAGCACTCCCCTCACTCAGAGCACTAACAAGGGGTTTGAGGCCAGCCCTTCCCGGCCCAGGCACCACCGCTGCGTTTGTGGAATGTCACCTTGTCATTAGCTCTGGGCTTTGCCACAGCACTTTGAATACAAAGGCAGAGACCTAATGGTGCGAAGCACAAAGCAGGGCTGGTTGCACAAAGCTCTGCTGGCTCATAGCAGCACAGGGGACTGAAGGTGACTCCAGGGTCACAGAAGGGCAGAGGCATCGTAGCGACAAGCCAGAGCTTACAGAGCACGTGGGCAGAGATGCTCTGTGTCACAAGCTCAGGCCAGGCTCTCACCTTCAGCACTTTGGATGTATTGAGCTTTCAACCACATCTCGTCCAAGTATTCCTTTATCCTCCAGCTGAAGGGCATCTTGTTCCCAGCACCAGTAGATACCATCATGTTGTTCTGCACCAGAATTACCTCTGGCTGAGAGCTACAACATTAGAAGGTCGTTAATGCCCTGGGCTTTTCCCTAGGAAACACATTCAGACAGAAGAGGTGGGAAGCTGCAGAAAGCAAGAAATTAGCCCGAGGAGACAGAACTGAAGGACTCATTACTACAGCTCGTCCTGCCAACGGTACAGCATTAGGCTTACTCCATAGGCATTCCCTGGCAAAAGGGCTGTACTGGCAGGACACGTGGGCTTCAGGGGCTGGGTAAGAAGTGTGAGCATGCCAAGAGCTAGAGAGCAAAGCCCAGGAGGGATGAGGCAGAAAGAACAGACTTCACCAAGAACCACCCTGCTGCCTTCAGCACGGCACAGGGGAGCATCCAAGAGCGTTAATCTCCCACGTGGATTTAAAGTCCGGTCTCTGTGCTGCCAGCCAAGCCCTCCTGCTGCTCTCTCCAGAGGCTCACCTGTTCTTACCCACACTGTAAGGGACAGTCAGGAGTTTTGTGTCACTGAAGATGAACATCCACAGCTTTGTCACCCACTCATCAGCCGGCCTGACCAACAGCTCCAGATTGCCATTTCTGTCTATGACAGCAATCAGGAGAGCCAGGAATGGAGTGATCACGTTCTGGACTCGCTTCCACAAGGTGTGCCTTTGGGGGCAGAAAGAGACCGAGAAACCCAGAGGGAAGGTGAGCAATGATATCAGCAAATCAGGAGGTGGTTTTCCTGAAAAACTGCTGACACTTGCATGTGAGCAAGTCCTAGTTCTGCCTTTAAGGGGAAGAAATACCACCACCAAAAAAACCCTACGCTCCTCTCACTCGTGGCTCACCTCTAATCCCACTCAAAGCACTTGTGCATTCCTGTCCCAGTACAGCCCATTCAGCTGTAAAGTCACCCTCCCTCAGGAGCCAGGAGAGGACAAAACTGCCTTCAGAGTTTCCAGCACAGACTGGAGACTGACACTGCAAATATTCAGATTACACAAAACTGCTGCCTCTGCTGCACAGCTGCCATTTGCAGACTTTTCTTGGAAGCCTGCTGTCCTCACCTGAAGGTGCCTGCCTCCTGGAGAGCACTGAGGTTGGAAGCCTCCCGAAGCACCCAGTTTTTTGGATTAAGGGAGTTTTCTTCTTGCTTCCTCAAAAGGCTGGAGAGATGAGCCTTTGTTATCTTCAGGAAAGAGGCTAGAAAACAACAAGGAACTTGCATTTTCTCTTCTATCTGCACTGAATCCAAACACCACACCAAGCACAACATTGTTTCCATAATTAGCCAGCCAACCAGGAAAAAAAACCAAAAAGGTCAGAGCTAGCACAGCCAGAGAAAAAGCCACAACCTGAACTCCAGGAACAGCCCTACAGCCATCAAAGAAGTGAGAGACCAAGGTACAGACACACACACGCTCTCAGGAGATTGCCTGGGAGATCCACCTTGTGCACACCAGAGCCAGAACCAGCTCAGTGAGTCAACTTCCACGTTTCGGTGGTCCCCTAGATGCTGAGGGGCACAACCTGCTGCCACCAGGGAGCATCTACCTTTCAAGTCATCCTCTTTGGACAGAAGGCCAAGGAGAATCTTGATTCGCTTTCTGCTTCGACTAGGATCTTCATTTTGGTCCAGCAGCATCCCCACAGCACTTTGCACGCAGGTCCTCAGGAGAACCGTGGTGTCCAGGATTTCACCCTTGCCAGAAACAGCATAAAAACAAGTTCATTCTCTTCAGTTTTACACTCTTGCCCACAACACATTCCTCTTAAAATTATTTTAGTGCTCTCTAGAAAGGGCCTGTCTCCCTGGCTTCTCATCTCCCACTTTTCCTCTCAGGCTGCAAATCTAAATTCTTCTTTAGGTATCAAGTAAGTGATGCAGCCTCTGTGGCCATTTCAAACCGGTGTGCGATACAGCACTTGGATTCAGCTAAAGCTCCTCTATGGGGTTTTTTTTGGGGTAAAAGGTAGAAATTATCAACCTGACTAGGGAAAATACCCCCTTCCCCAGGAGATGCTTAGGCCCTAGAGGGACAAAAGCCACATGGAGTCACCCTTGCAGTGGGCATCCTTCAGACAATGGCAGCTTTTAAAAAACTCATTTTTAAAAACTAGAGTGTAAGAAATGGCTAAGGAGTTAGAGAGTCCTTAGAACAGTTCATTTGTGTAGTGATGCTGATTTTGCCTGGGCAGCAGGGGGAGGAACAGTGTCTGGTCAGTGACATTCATGATGCAAATGATATTCCTGATGGATTACAAGTGAACAGGGATGCGAAAGGTGGGTTGCATGTAAGGATGACAGAGCAGAACATCACATCAACAGCTGAGAATGTATTCTGAACTGACCTCACAGCGCTCCACTTCTGGCACTGGAGTTTCAACTTCTGCCTTGTTTTCCTCCTGTTCTCCCTTCACAGGCAGAGCTGCAACTAAGGCGTAGAACATGTATTAGAACAAAGATCTGTATTCACACAAGCAAGACATTCTCTGCAATGACTCCTTGTCAGCAGTCTCTGCCACGCAGCATCTGCTGCCTCCTGTGCCAAGATAGAGCACTCGCTGTTGGGTGGAGAAACTTCCACATTTTTGTCAAAAGAAAAATGGAGTTTAACTCAATGACCCAAAGCTGCAGTAACAAACTAAATATAAATACAAGTTGGCAGCCATGTGGTAAATTCCACAAAAAACAGATGCTGAGCAGGGAAAATTACGAGGTGTGTTGTAGCAGGCGTAAGTTCCACCAGCACCAACTCTGGGACTGCATCTTCCCTTTTCCCCACTGGCATTTACCAACATCACTGGTGGCACAGGCAGCATGCAGCTCACCTTTGGTTTTCCCTGAATCCTCACAGAATAACTGGCTGATGGTGAGGTTCTGCAGAGCAGTCATATCGGAGATCATGTCCTTGGATCTGCGGAGATCATCTATGTGCACTGACTGCCACAGTCCTGAAGACAGAGGACACACCAAAAAAATCATTTAGTGCCTGCAACACACTCTTGTAGAAGAGCTTCTCAAGAATTATAAGCAAGTGCCTGTGGGCTAGCAGTTCACATCCAGAGTTCGCTCACTCTCACTTCTTGATGTAGAAAGGGAACGCAGCAATTCACTTTGAACACGCTAACACACACGACCCTGACTGACAGGGCGTGCACAACAGCGGGGCTTTGAGGCTCTCGACACCCACCACACACAGCAGGAACCTTGTTGCTGAAAGCAGAACACGAGGCACGTACTCAGGGGCCTCCTGGAGGATAACAGTGCAGTTAGAGAGAATAACAGTGCAGTTAGAGAGGATAACAGTGCAGTTAGCATCATTGGGTTTGTTTGCCTGAAAAAGAGGACTCCCCCGTCAGCGGGCAAGGCACGGTGCTCTCCCACAGACCAGGACTCCAAGGTACTGACCCTCCAGGGACTGTCCCTAAGGGTAAAGGGAGCGGCTCTGACAACCCACAGAACATGCTGAGGCCAGAATTCCAGCATTAAAAAAGCAAGCAAACAAGAGAAATGTTGCTCTGGTACGTTTGCCTGAAGTCAGTTGAGGAACAGATGGGCAGACCCACCTCCATGGAACCCCACGTAGGATGTTCCTCCTTCCACCCGGGAAAGCTTCATAATAAAGTAAACGAAGACAGAGACTTCTCCCAAATCCACTTTGCTGACTTCATTCACAACCGTGTATCTGCAAGAGGAGGAAATGCCGCTGAGAGACCAAAGACAGGCAAAAGTTCACAGCCACAAGTCTTTCCTCTGTAAGAAAAGGCACATTTTTTCCCCTGTACAGATGTAAGCAACTCGCTCAGCCCTCCTTCCCAGCTGGCTGTGCTGAGCTACCTCCAGCTACACCTCGAGTGACGCCCCTGTCCCCAGCTCTTCACGACTTCTGCAGCC